GTTAAGTATTGTGATAATATCGTATCGTGGGATGTATGGTGATTCCCACCTCTATGGCGTATAGATGGATGAAACTTTGCTGAATTGCACAGTGGATGCTGGGAGGAGCTACACAGTTGCTTCTTAGGCTTAGCGTAAGAATGGTATTGGGAATGGACCCCCAATCGCATAATTCAACTTTGTAAAGTGGGTCAATCTTTAGTAAGTTCATTCCATCAGGCCATGCTAAGGACATGAAACAAGGGGAAGAAGATGGTGACAGTGAGATAAGGGTGAGGATATGACCACAAGACAGCAGCTGCTGGATGTACTCAGCCAATCCTCGCCTTAACACTTGACTGCCTAGAGTTTAACTTGAACTTGTCCTTTAGTTTGTTAAGTACTGGTGGTTATATTGAGAAGAGAGAGGGACTACATACCCACACTGACTACAGAGATCATTTGCATACCATTTTGTCTTCAGTGAGGCAGACATAAAAAAAAAAAAAAACTGGTTATACATATGATCTTGCTCTTTTCTTCTATCTGGTGCTTCCGGTAGGGGTTGCTACAGCGAATCATCTGTCTGCATCTTACTGAGCAGGATTCGAACCTGGCCCTTCTGGTACTCAAGGCAGGTACATATCTCACTGCGCCACACTCTTTCTCTGCATCTTACTCTATGCCCAGCATCCTCTTCTGTCACACCAACCCTCTGCGAGTTCTCTTTCATTACATCCATGAAACTTCTCTCTTGTACTCTTGCCTGGCAGCTCCATCGTTATCTTTGATTTATATATCCACCATCCTTCCTCTGTGCAAGTCCAAACCATTTCAGCCTTGCCTCTAACTTCCAAGTTCCAAGCTTCTGCAAACCACTCCCGATGAGTTGCCCGCCTTAAGGACTTAAGGCCCATCCTGGTCACTCCCAATAAAATTCTGAGCATCTTAACTCTGCCACCTCCTTTTTGTCAGTGCCTCTGTCTCCAAACCATACATTATAACAGGCCTCACTACCAAACTTCCCTTTAAGCCTTGCTGCCATCTCCCCATCACCAATTGCCCCTGACACTCATCTCCACCTACTCCACCCAGTTTTCACCCTGTTTAAACGCATCTACCTCCTTGCATTTTTACTTTTCCACCTGTCTCCCTCTTACTCACACACACATAGCCTGGCTTGCTCCTACTGACTTTCATTCCTCCTGTCCTCTCTCCACCTCCACCTCTTCAAACGTTCTTCAATGTGCTCCTTACTCTCATTACACATCACAATGTTGCCTGCAAATGTTGCAATCCACACAGACTCCTGACCTCATCTGTCAGCTTGTACATCACCATGCAATCAAGAGTGGGCTCAGAGTCAATCCACACCCCATCTTGAACCCTTTTGCCACTTCTACCACACACATCGTCACGGTCTTGTTGTCCTGATAGATTTCCCACACCACCCTCACATACTCCTCTGCCACTCCTGACTTCCTCATGTAGTACCACAGTTCCTATCTTACTAACTTATTATACTCTACAGGGAGTGCAGAATTATTAGGCAAATGAGTATTTTGTCCACATCATCCTCTTCATGCATGTTGTCTTACTCCAAGCTGTATAGGCTCGAAAGCCTACTACCAATTAAGCATATTAGGTGATGTGCATCTCTGTAATGAGAAGGGGTGTGGTCTAATGACATCAACACCCTATATCAGGTGTGCATAATTATTAGGCAACGTCCTTTCCTTTGGCAAAATGGGTCAAAAGAAGGACTTGACAGGCTCAGAAAAGTCAAAAATAGTGAGATATCTTGCAGAGGGATGCAGCAGTCTCAAAATTGCAAAGCTCTGAAGCGTGATCATCGAACAATCAAGCGTTTCATTCAAAATAGTCAACAGGGTCGCAAGAAGCGTGTGGAAAAACCAAGGCGCAAAATAACTGCCCATGAACTGAGAAAAGTCAAGCGTGCAGCTGCCAAGATGCCACTTGCCACCAGTTTGGCCATATTTCAGAGCTGCAACATCACTGGAGTGCCCAAAAGCACAAGGTGTGCAATACTCAGAGACATGGCCAAGGTAAGAAAGGCTGAAAGACGACCACCACTGAACAAGACACACAAGCTGAAACGTCAAGACTGGGCCAAGAAATATCTCAAGACTGGTTTTTCTAAGGTTTTATGGACTGATGAAATGAGAGTGAGTCTTGATGGGCCAGATGGATGGGCCCGTGGCTGGATTGGTAAAGGGCAGAGAGCTCACAGTATATATTATCATAATATATATAATATATATATATATATATATATATATATAGCCACTGTTGGTAATAACAGAAGTCATCCCCCTTTTACTGACATTTTAAGCCTTGAAGTAGTATGAACTGAATGGAAAAACCCAAGGACAGTCCCTACTGGCTCCAGGGTTGGTGAGCAACAAGCCTGAGGCAAAACAGATCAAAAGCAGAGGAGTAACATAAACGAAACCAAAAAAAAAGACAAAATGTAAAAACAAGAACACCAAGATAACCACAACGAGCTCAGACTTCTGTCATGTTCAACAGGAAAAACCACATAACAACAGTTATAGGGAAAATATTTCAAGATTCAAGATTCAGTCTAGAGGAACTAAACCCAATCGGATAGTAAAGACCCCGTAAATTCCCACTCTTTCAAAGCACTTCCAAACATGAAAAGAGGCCTGGCATCTCAGCAGGAAACTTTACTAAGCTACTCGGTCTTCTACTTTTATCTGAATGGAGGCAGTGTTAGCTTTATTAGCACAAAGTAAACCTATTTAGCATTCAGCTTCTCACTCCTGACCCTCAAGTCTTCCTTCCGAGGATATCCTGTTTCATAAACTATTTTTTTTCCCACTCAGCATCGTCTTATTGTAATTCCTCCTTAAGGGGAAACAATAAAGAATCCTCTTGACCACAGCTCGACTAAGATCTAGACAAGCTTTTGTGTAATCGAGTAATTGAGTGACAAGATAAAAATCCCACTTGTAAAAAGGTCACTACTTGCAGCTTCTTCCACAGTGCAGATATTGATCAGTCTGCAGTGGACTAAATGGCAGGGTTTTGTGTCATCATGCCCAGAGCATGCGTGGCTTTGTATTTAAATAACATAGAAAAAAGGAGCCCTTTACTGAACTCGTGACCTCTCAGCCAGTAGCTTAGATGTAATGGACCACACTAAACCTCATGTTGCCACCAACATGCATAAGAATGTAAACACAGAGAGCGCTGATTAGCATCAGACTGCACAGCTCTGGTGGACTCAGAGAAAAACAGACACACACACGGAGGGTGGAGAGGAATGTCTGTTAAACTACACTTGTGGGTCTGTATCAGCAGTGTGTGAGACAGAGTGAGCATATGAGGCATGGAAAAAAGGAAAACAACGGTCCCTATGGTAACAGAATACCTTTGTCTCGTAGGTCAGGACCTCTCTCTTGTGCTCACTCAGCCAAGCCTACTGAGGGCACTCTGCACACAAGGTCATAAGTATTTTTGTGTGTGTGAGCGCGTCTGTGCGTGTGCATGCACTGGGGTTGGAATTAGGGCCTAAAGCAGACAAGAGGGGGTTACGCTGAAAAAGAAAAAAAAAAGGCTGCCAACCTCCCAGGTTGCTATAGCAATGCCATGGCAATTATGACACACAACACATGCTTTGAAATCAGAAGTGTCAAGCTGATATAAAAATCAATCAAAGCCATTGTGATTTGCTACAAAAGAAAGAAAAACAAGGGTTGTGTGTAAGTGTATTTGCAAACTGTGATCACACAGCTGGATGTGCGGGCGAAGCATAAATAATCCATACTGTCTGATGGCTTTCTGCTCAGCAGTATCACCCAACCCCCACAAGGCAGCAAAGGGCCACGTTAGACAGACAGGCCATGAAAACTGCTAATAAGCTTTGGCTAAAGTATTTGACGCTCTGAACGTCACTGAGGCGTGCAGACCACTTTCTTGCTGAAGCAGGTGTGCACAGCTCTCTGAAATCTGCAGGAAAACTACCAATGACCTTGGAGCCTCATTAGTGACACCCATCACTCAGGGGGATCACGTCATCTAATCCCACAAACATTATATACACAAACAAGCACGAGTAACGTGGCCACAGTAAATGTAAGCATCCAGCCTCCATGACTAGCTACCTGGCTGAGAGACACTCAATGAAGCTTGAAGCTTTACAAATCCCACATTAGAGCACGATGCCAAGAAAACACGAATTAAACGGGCAATAATCCAAGACATCAGGAGGTGTGTATGGACTTGTCTCACTAAGGGGTGAAGAAAAAAATATGTAGTTCTTTGAAAGACCAGAACAACAAAAGCCTGCGATTGTAAATGGAAGAAACCGCCAAACTGCTCACATACAGTGGTAGAACAAAAATGTTTTAAAAAAATTCAGACTAGCTGTTATATATAAAATATGGATATGAAAGTAGAAGTATATGAAAACAGAAAAACAACAAATAAAACATGACAGAGCCCCTACCTTCCTCATCAGCAAAACTTGAAGTCTTCCATGCAGATTTCCAGACAGCAGTTTAACATCCAGCTCTAACAGTTTGTATGATCAGAGTGTGTGCATTTCAGTGTACATGCATGTATGTATGTATGTGTGTGTGTATTAAAGAGTAGTCCACAGGTTTAATGCTTAACCCATCTATCTCACGGCCTGAAAGCTGTCATGCCTGTAAGGAGGAGTCTACGAGCTAATGGTGGTCATAGAGGAAGAAAATGGGCTGATGGGGCTGCCCCGTACCCCTGCCCCTTTGTTTAAAGAGTTCACCACGATCTTAGTCTCAACCATGCCTGCAGTGTAAACACTCGAGTGAACCCTTATCGCTTGGAGCTGATATGCAGGCCGGCACCCTCTTATCGTTATGGTGATTGACCAAAGTACAGGTCGTGGAAGTGATTGACATTGGACTTTAGCTGTTCCCTGTGACAGATGAGCCACATGACAGCTAACAAAGCTGTCCTATTATTAGGTAACTGACAGTTAAATACTCAGCTAAAGCAAATTTTGTCTGCTATTTTTAGTCCTGAAGATCAATACCAGTGTCTGATCTAATTATATAAAGTTTAATAATTTTGATAGTGACCAAGTGCATTGCACAAATTTTACCTGTTCTGGGGCACATTTCTCCAACCTGTCCATTGTGTCCATTGATTTTTATATAACAGAAAAACCAGTCAGCAGAATCACGGGACACATTAGCTTCTTATTCAAAGCGCCTATTTGAATGTTTGAATGAAAGCAGAAGTTCACTTGAAAATAAGTCAACAGCAGAAGGTGGGTAAAATAGTCCATTACTTTACCTGTTTGTCAGACATGTTTATGGGCAGATAACAAATCCACTGAGATGTTTCTCACTCTTTTGTAAATAGACAGGACGGGAGGGTTACTCAAGATGTTGCCTTGGCTGTCAGCTTGCGAGCTCACGGCTGCACAGAGTTGAGAAATAAAACATCAAGTTACACAAACTCTTCTGGACTCCGACCTCTGCGGTGACAACATGTTTAGTGTCAGAATAATAATCAAATGCCACTGCACACTAAAATGAGACAAGCCCTTACGATCTGAAGAGACTCTATGGGCACAAAGCTGCGGTGTGGCATTGTATCAGGTTACCTCAAAGGTCTATGTTGACCTGACCCTTGACCCTGGCTGTTAATATTGCACCACTACGTGGCAGTAAACGTGCCTGCATGCATGTGTTTGGTAGCGTTCAAACAAGAACATGGAAAAGAATGAAATTTTAGATTTGCGGGGCAATCAACTACTAACCATGTTTATTCCTTCTAAAGAGACAGGTACATATACAATGGAGCTGTCCTCTAAACTTTATGATATGTGAATAATGGGAGTTTTGGCCAAAGGTAGCTTTTACTACCAGTACCTTTGTGTGTTTTGCTTCTGATAAGGCTTAAGTGTTTGCTATGTTTACATTTTGATACATTTTATTGTGTACGGTAACCTGTTAAAACTAGGGATGGGTACTGGTATCGCACCGGTTCTGACATAAACGGTAGTAACCAGACCGAAAAGCAGCGCACATTTCGGTGCTTTATTTCCCCTGAAATGTCATACACTTTGGATTCTAGCCAATCATTTTACCTTTGCAAGTGTAGTAGGCGGGCCCAGGTACGTACGTTCTTTTAGAGCAGAGCTACAGATTAAAAATGCCCAAGGCAAAGTGGTCAAAGTCTGGCTGTACTTCACAGCAAAAGATGCAAACTCAGCAGCCTGCAACAGGTGCTTTAAGGTGATACTGTGCAAAGGAGGTAACTCCTCGAATCTAATGAAGCACCCGGCGACGTATAGCATTTTGTTAAAAGCGAGAAATGCACCGTATTTGATAGCTTGCTGCGAGACCTCACACCGAGCACATCTACTGCGGGTGGGTTGCCTGTTATCGGACCCGGAGTTAGCAACATCCCCCAAAAACCCGAAGAGAGAGTCCTGGCCCCTAGCCCTGCCAGTGTAGCAGAAATGATGACGGATGATGATGGCAGCAGCAGCCGTTCTTCTCTGCGTGAGTAGCTTAATGTTGTTCGTGTGTAATTTACGTTGAGTAGGCTAACCACGTTATTACATTAATGCATGTAAGGTGAACTAGCAAACACCTCGTAGTTACATGCGGCTGTCTTCTTGTTTGATGGCAGATACTCCCTTCACCCTGGCCAAAAAGGCTAAAATGACCAAAGAAAAAGTGGAAAACAGTTAAACATGAGAGGTTTTTGGACAAAGTTTGTGTTTTTTCCATTGTTTAAGCACTGCTTCCAGCCAAGAGTGATGCCATAAATCCCCTATAGCTGCAGAAAAGGCTAACATTGTTATCTTTTTACAAAAAAACAGCTGAACATGAGAGGTTTTTGGACCAATTTTGTGTTCTCCATTCTTTAAGCACCGGTTCGAGCACCGTTTAAGCACCGGCACCGTTTCAAAAGTACCGGTTTGGTACTGGTATCGGATAAAACCTAAACGATACCCATCCCTAGTTAAAACTAGAAATGCCAAACCAATAAGATCAAATCTTGAAGCATTATGAATTTATCAGGGAGTCAACTTTGCAAGCATGTGATTTGCAATAAACTGATCTCATGGGACATCTTTGGCTCAGAGGAATACATCTAAATACTATTATCAAATTTGAAGAATTTCCCAAAATATGACATAAAGTATTTATTGTCATGCTTTATTATTCTTAAATGACAGTAACAGTGAGGTTATATTGAGCAATGACCAGTGTTGGTCAAGTTACTTGAAAAAAGTAATCAGTAACTAATTACTGATTACTTCCCCAAAAAAGTAATCCCGTTACTTTACTGATTACTTATTTTCAAAAGTAATTAATTACTTAGTTACTTAGTTACTTTTTAAAAACACGATTTACAACCTGAAGAGGTGATAAAGCGATAGATCTTTCAGCCCAATTCTACTTTTTCTACATAATCCATCATACAAAATGTAATCAAATGGAAAAGTCTCTTTTTAACTTGTTTTATCAGTTTTAATCTTTTAACTTTATGCATCAAGCAAAAATTTAATTATATGCAACATTCTCTGACTTGAATAAATTAGTTTAACATTTAAACCTATTTTCTGCACATTCCAGCACATAAAATAAAATATTTTTTGTGTTTACACTCACTCTTTCAAATAGATGCAAGTAAAACACAGCAGAAAATAAATAAAGTCAAAGACTCAGCGGTCCTGTTGCTCTATTTTCACCTGTAAAGCAGGACTGCGGTAGGCGGAGGTTTACCCTGGTGCAGGTGTGCCGCGGTCAGTTGAAGAATCCGCGAGTTTCTCTGTGAGTTTCCCATTACGTCGTTGCGCACTCGGTGCTTGCTTGGAAGTTTAGGGGTTTTTTTCGCTGTAAAAAGAAGTTTTCTTCCCACGCACGATGGACGCTAATGTTTTTGTCACTTTTTATGGAATCAAACTCAAAGTAAGGTCAGTACTTCCACGCTTTAAACGCTGCACGCTCATACTCTCTCCCACAATCGATATGTGATCCATTGTTGATCTGCACACAGCTGTTGTCACTAACGGCGCACTCGCTTACGTCACTGTCATGAGACATTCTCGCAAAAAATCACGGTTTTAGTAACGCAGTAACGCAGCGTTCCTACGGGAAAGTAACGGTAATCTAATTACCGTTTTTGCAATAGTAATCCCTTACTTTACTCGTTACTTGAAAAAAGTAATCAGATTACGCGTTACTGCCCATCTCTGGCAATGACACAGCTGTGCTACAGCCCTGACCTGCAGTGTAGGCACAGCTATGACTCCCGTATTCCAGTGAGTTAAATGCATTAACAGCTGGATCAATGGTTAAAAGACAGCTACTGCTGTTTCCAGCTGTTAAGATGATCAATAACAAACAATGCCGTGGTTGTCCTTGAGCAACATTTCCTTTCTTTGCCAAAGTCTGACTGCTGGCTGCCACTTTGTACCTATTTCCAAATCAGTCACAAGGATCAGACAGGCCAGTATTACAAATCTTCTCCACAGTATAATGCAATCTTTTCCAGCGGCGTTTATCACTTGACAAATGCTAAGCTGGGGGGGTGAAGAGACACCAGGGACGACTTGTATTTATTAAACTAGGCTGAGAATATCACACAGCTCCTTACTGCGTCATGTGTATTCCCTGTAAGATTTACTCTTTTGAGTTTGTGATCTACACTGTTGTTGCTGATTTGCTGCCTTCCAGGATCCTTTCCAGGTGTCAGAAAGTAATTGTGGATCGGTGACTATGCTGGATGGCCGAGATGTACAATGCTATCACAGCTGATCAATCTATTAATGCCCATGACAAGCAAAAGTGTCAACATTTTCACAGTGGCTCATAATATTTTAAGGTAAAAATGTCAATTCTGCATAACTTTTTAGCTGCGATTTTTTTTTTCAATTAAACAGCAATAAAAATGACCAAAAGTGGGATCTCCACTAATAACAGACCATCAGCAAGCACGGCCCTCCCCCGTCACCGAGCGTTCTGTGGTTTTAGGGTTCCCATTAGTGCACGTGTCTATGTGTGTGCACTTCAGCAACACTGTCACACAAAGTATTTCTACAGACAAAAAACCTGCATTTAAACATTTTTAAACTTTAAACCTGTGCTTAAGATTATTTGACAGACTGCACATAAAATATAACAGTGACTGAGCTCTGCTTTGAATGTAGGAGTCTGAAAAACCTCCAGCTAATAACAGTAAAACTTTTGTGTATGACAGTGACTGCATAGTCTACTGTCATAGCTTTCCCCTGATCGCCCCAACAGCGTAATCGAGGGAAATCAGGAGAAAAACATGAAGCTTAACTCAATCGAATAAATCTGGGTTTTTTTAAGGGGGGTGGGGTCAAGAATTTTTTGATGCTAATTTTAAACTGTATGTCACTAAAGTTCAACCCGAAGGCTTGTTTTTCATTGTAGAGATGGATGACAAATTAAAGTATAAACCAGAATCCCTGACCCCAACCTACTACAATAACAGAATCCAGCTGATGATATTTTGGTGGCCTGCTTTGGGTCAGCTCTCACCTGCTAATAGATATAACAATTATTTACCTTTGTACTATCACTAAACGTTTCTTTGGTGGTGTGACTGGTTCCTTCTAGGCTGACAATGGCATGTTTCATGAATCAGTAGGAATCCCTGAATGAATAATCCGTTGCCTGACCTATAAAAGAGGAGCTGATCTGTAGGGTGGCAGATCAATAGGTTACATGCATTAGCAGTACAGTAGAACATTTGATATTCAAAGCCTCTTAGAGTTAGTTGCAGGTTGTCTAGAGATTGAATGGTACCATTTGTCAACATAACAGCTTTAGTCGACTTTAATCAAAGAGTTTTCTGGTAAACAAAGAAAAGTTGATTATTACAGTTTTTCCACCAAGTCTTAACAAACCCAGTGAATGCACGTCCTTCAAGGTTCTTGCAAAGCTGAATTCCTGCATTATTTAGGTCAAATTTACGAGCAGGCAGACATCTTTCTTTGCTGGTGCATTGCTGCACCTATAACACCACCTGTAGCTAAGTGGAAGTGGTATCTTTGTGCATGGAAACTCTTAAGCCTGTGGATTACATAAACCTGAGACCCACATACTGCTACCACAGTTGTAAAATTCCACAGGCAAAAAAAAATGTCTATTGGAGTACATAAAGGTAGTAAAGTGGTTGCTTAAAAAAAACAATACAGTGATGAGTACTTGAGTACACGTTAAATCTAAGGTGAAGCTGGGAGTATTTCTCAGGCAGCTGTGTATCTCATTTCATTTTCCAGCTTGACACTGGAGTCCTGAGTTCCCCTTTCTGGCTGCCAAACCAGCCTACGTGTTTTGTGGGGAGGCATGCAGAACACAGTCCTAGTGACAGATCAACACTGATTTGCTACTGTAGTCCAACAAAAAACATAAAGCTCTTTCAGCTTTTCTTATGGGCAACCCTTAAGCAGGAGCTGTAATTAGCTAATCCTAAAGAAGATGTGCGCAGCGCGAGGACAAAGAGTTAATTTTGATCTGCTACACAGCTGACATATTTGTGGATAAGTTGTTTCTTTGGTAGCAGTAGTAGCAAGCAGCAACCTTCATCTAAAACCACTCTGCACTGCATTTACCTTTGGTCATCTGTCATGTTAAAAAGCTCTGCGAGGTCCCATAAATGTGTCAAACACCTCTGTCATACCAAAACAAGCAAAAGTAGTTCAACCAAAAAAGTAAAAAAACATTTTGTTGTTAGCAACGCAATTCCAATGGGAGAGTAGATATGGTCAGTGACAGATGATTGATAAGGATTTCTGCATATCTTGTGCCTCCTATTGAGGCAGCTGCAGTGGGAGTGGAACTTGTCAAAATGAGACAAGATAGTTGGCAAGAAAGAGAACACCTTCCAGCAATCTGTCTGTCTATAAGAATACAGACGTGTGCAAATGTGACACTAACATAGGAAGACTGGAAACAAACAAAGATATTGTTCAGGGAATCAGTCAAATCCTCTTGTCCTGTCAACTTACAAATTCAGCTTACATACGGCATCTTTC